GCTCCCCGCCGGCCCGGGGTGTGGGTTTCCCTTCCCGCCCCACTCCCCCCATCCTGTTCTCTCCTCCCTTTCTGTACAGAGGCGGGTGTGCCTGGGATTGGGAGTTCAGGCCTGGCTCCTTCCCACTGGGGCCTGAGAGCAGGGGCGCCCTGCAGAGAGGGCAGGGGCAGCTCTGCTGGCCTCTCCCAGCCCTTTCCTTGGCCGCAGCCACTTCTCTGTCCCTTTGGCCACGTGTGTCCCACACGCTCAGAAAGGAGCGGCTGTCCGGTCTCTGGCCACGTGGGCTCCTGGCTTCAGAGACGGGGCCAGGAGAACAGAGCCAGCCCCTCCCCAGGGCTGGGTCGGCCCTGCCCTCCTTCCTCCAACTCCATCCATCTGCCACCGGGTCATTGCACTTGCCCACAGGCTTGAAGGCCTGGCTTTGTGCCCAGCTCTCTGCTGGGCAGTGTGGGAGGTCCTCACCCCTGACCACACTGACCTCAGCACTAAGGGAAACAAAGCAGGGGCCGGCCATTCTGAATGGAGCTGAATGGGGAGGAAAAGTGAGATTCCCGTGGGAGGAGCAGGACGGGGAGAACAGGCAGGATGGAGGGAACAGTGTGAGGAACGGCCCTGCCTCGGCCTCAGAGTGCGGCCTCCGTTACGTTTACTGTGTGACAGACATGGGTTTGCTCTGTGCCACGTGAAGGCAGCTCTGGGTCACAGATACCTTCAGCTCTCGCCAGTGCTCAGCACCTCGTAAGTGCTCAAGAAATGCTTGTTGAACTGAATTTGAATTGAAGGGAGGAGCCCCAGGCGTGTTCTTATTCTGTTACCACCACTTAGGAAAGACCTGGCTCCGTGAAAGGACTTGACCCACATTAGCTCTGACCCTGCAGCCCGCCCAGGTGTTAGTCTCTGAATATTCAGGGGAGGAAACCCAGGTGCAAATGGGGTGTTGTTCCCAGCTGGGTCCTCCCTCATGCATCTGCTCATTCCCAGGTCACACCTGCAGGGCAGCAGCCATGAGCCTGGTGGCCTGCGAGTGCCCCCCTGGCCCCGGGCAGGAGCCTGAGCCCTGCTCGCGAGCACCGTCCCAGGCCCGCATGTACCTGGAGCAGATTCGCAACCGGGTGGCTCCGGGGCCACCTGACGCGACCAAGCGCGACTACCTGGTGGATGCCGCCACGCAGATCCGGCTGGCCCTGGAGCGCGATGTGAGCGAGGACTACGAGGCAGCCTTCAACCACTACCAGAACAGCGTGGACGTCCTGCTGCGAGGCGTGCACGGTGAGGGCTGGGCTGTGCGGGGACAGGGACAGTGAGGGAGGGCCGAGGTGGAGCTCGTCCCTCATCTATCCATCCGTGCTGGGCGAACAGGGCCCGCGGGCCGCTCCGAAAGACACTAATAATAGTGAGTGTTTATCGAGCAGCTCCTACATGCCAGCCGCCGGGCCAAGGGCTTTGCCTGTATTAACTCACCTGAACCTCACGGTAACAGAAGATACTAAGTATGTTGTTGCATGGAGCTCCAAGTGCATAGGAACTATTTTTATTCCTATTTCCCAAGTGAGGAAACGGAGGCACAGGGCAGTGACATAGCTCGTGTGTAATGGGGGTAGGCTGATGAGTTGACAATGGACTATTAGAGTCTCATGTGAAAGGCAATGAGGAAGAAGTGAAGGGAGGGAAACTGAGTCCAGGCGCAGCCGGCCTAGGGGATTTTTCTAGAAGTCCAAACTCTAGTCGGAGCACTGAAGAACGGCAGGTGCACTGTCCAGCTGAAA